GGGCAGAGGGGGCGATTGCCCCCTCGAAAAAAATCAAGCTGAAACCCTTTGTGTCAGCAAAATTTGCCTCTCAAAATGCAGGAAATAGCGTTTCAGAGGGTCTAGATTTCAAAATTGTTAAGAGGGAGAATGCCCCCTGGTAAGGTCGCGCCTTTGGATGGTGAGCAGATATCGCCCCTCCATGCAAAATTTAGTGCCGCCGCCTCTGATCCCAAATCGAACAGGACACGGCGCGACAATAAAAATGAAAAATTATCTTTAAAATGCTGTTTCCATTACAGCCAGACGCAGTTCTCTCTCAAAATACTATCGGTTGGTTATTTTGTCAAGGCACAGACAGGTTAACAACGAACAAACGCCGACAAAAACACAATCTCCTTGGTGAAGGCAATTAATTCAGAGAGCGCTTGTAACTTGGTCCAACAATATATATGTAGAAACGTTGTCATTTTGGGATAGGAAGATACATACACTCTGTGGAAATAAAATAACGATTTTCATAGCTCCTAAATATCGGTGTTCTACTGTCAGTAAAATTATGGAAAATGATTCATCTATTTATTATTTTCAACTTTAACGATTCGCCCGGGATCATGAACATTTCCGTGATTTTCACACCTTCCGTTAAGGTGGTGTTGGTCTGTTTTTCTATGGGTAGCGTTTCCAAGGTGATGTGCTGGCTGCATGATGTTCTTTATAAATGACATTATTGCAAGTACTCTTGTGCGTTGAGTAATACAATTGTCATGTTGTGTTCACTCAAATCAGAAATTCGTGGAGATAGTTTAATTCTAAAAATTGTTTATTCTCACTGTGATGGAATTATAGATGTTAATTTGAAAGCGCGCTAACAGGTTTCGATAACAATCCACTGTTGCCATGTTTATACTACATTACTAAGACTGTTAAAGATGTAATCGATTCAGGTATGTTAAAACATATCCCCAGAATTGCGTAGTGTTCAAACTGATGATTTGAAGCGCTATATAGTGTGTAGTATAAAATAGATTGAACGATTTTGCGCACATACCTGCTACTGTCTATCATGAGCGACAGGGTGTTCGCCAGCCACCAGTCTACCCACCATACAGACTGGCAACATTTGCCCATTTTTTTTGTTTTTTCCTATTGTTCTTTGATAATTTTGTCAAAATATTTCGAAACCCATTTTCATTTTCATGAAGTTGAATTATTTTGGACTGGCAGTTGCCAATTCCTTGCTAACAGCCTGATGGGCGATACAGATAATTTCAAAGGGACCAGTAAAATTATCTTAAAACACATTTAAACAATTTGTTTCGAAATTCGAACACGCTCTGTGCGACGTCTGTAGACATTTATGTTCACGGCCTTATTTCGAATTAAACTAGTGAAAACAGGATCGATATGTTTTTTTAAAATTCGGATGACAAATTTCATTAACTATCGATTTTTTAGTTCTTCTTAATTTCGATTTTTTTTTATTTAAGTGTTTGTAATCAGAACATTCCGTAATAATATTGACTTGTATATGATTTAATCTCTATCTGTCTTCGGACCGGAACCAAATGCTATGTTATTATAGTTGCTTTGATCTCCCTGTTGACATTCGCACTTCAACTTACAGAAAAAGTAATTTTTCACCTTTGATTAAGTCAGGGGTCATAGAATGCAGATACGGGCATGGCAAACACACCTTTGTAAAGCTTGAAGTCTGGCGATTCTAAAAATATATACTTTCCTGGGTCTATTTGTAGTCATTTGGTCACAATTAGAAGATGAAAACAAGTAAGCAAATAATAGTCCCGCTACCTTAATTGCAGTAGAGATGAATTGTGGCTGGTTTCTTTGACGAGTTAGAGGCAGTTTTGGTCAGTACATGCAGAGGACTATTTGCATCAGGTGAACATTTGCATCCATATTAGATGAATAGTCAAGAAGAGAGGGGACAATGAGGTGTCTTTCTGTAAAGTTCCTTATCTAGTTTCTTCCAATTACATTTTCAATAGCCGCAGGTTTGGGTTTTAGGAGGAACTCTCTTCTCCCGATGAAGAGATGCTTTCATGTCACCGGAAAAAATATGTGAGATGTAGATTGATACTTTTCAATGGTTCCATGAAGTTCGAGGGAGGCAGACAAGTAGTCATCAGAGCTAGAATAGCCTCTTGAATATATATGCATCACTGATAATAAACGAGGTACTTTTTATATTAATTCCGATGATATTTTTACTACAACCCGGAGGTCTACTAATATATTTAAGAGATATTTTCACAAATAGATGCAATACCACCATAGCGGTTGGTTACCGAGTATTTTGGAGGGCAATGATATCAATTGATTGTATAGCTGAATTTAAATAGTGCATTTCAACGTACATTCTTATTATAAAAGGAGGCAAGCGAGAGAGAGTCGCATATTAAATTAGAGGTACTTTCAATAGTTAAAATGTAGGTGATTTTTTTAGTAGATTTAGTTGTAGATATTACAGGAGGATAGACTATCGGAGGATAATAATATGGGGCCCATGGGAGAGGTGCATGTATTCAATTTCCTCTGTTTATAAAAACGGTCACGTTTTCCTATCATTATTTTGTTTAGGTTATTGCAGCGACTCTACATGGATACGGCGAACAACCGATAAAAAAGTGTATTGGCAATGATCCAATGCAGAACAGACGTAGACGAGTACTACTCGTTGTTCCCTACAGAAAATGGCGCACCTGCAACCACCAAACTGTAAATTCAGTCATCGTCCAAAGACACGGGAAAGCAGACATCGACAGAAACCACAATTCCAACTGAAAATAATGATAATATATTTGAAAAAAAATATTCGATATTTGTAATGCCATGCCCCCCCCCCAACACATGACGATTCATATCGTCTTGATTACGCATTATGCATAACTTCTCTGCGATTTACGCTCCGTATATCTTAAGCGAAGCTTGGACCCCCCAATACATTTTGCTGGATCCGCCACTGATGTTTTTGCAATTTCTAATTTACATATAAAAACATGTGCGATTTGCACAACTCGACTTGTGTATGTTTTGCGTATGAATGCTTTTATCGATATTTATATGCAAATAAGTAAACCTTCCCAGTTACGTGAATATTCGAGTTTTAATCAGGTCAATTACGTCTTCATAAAACTGTGGGGTTTAATAATTTGAATATCAATGTAATCGTGAAAAATTACTAATTTAATATAAATACAATTAAAATATATAATAACAATATACTGTAAAATGACTAATTTTCACTGGGTTTAAATTTCACTGATTTACCATTTCAGGCATATTCAGTGGGTTTTAAATTCACGGTTTTATCATTTAGATAATGTGTTCTATGCTAAATTTTACATATTCACTGTGTTTTAATTTAGCGCATTTTTCCAGTCAGCGAAATAAGCTAAATTAAAACCCAGTGAATAATTACCCCCTTTACAGTAATTAATATGAAATAGGTGTTGCAGTAATAAATGGCGGCGCACGACATTTTGCATGAGGGGCGAGATCTGAAATCTAGACACTCTGAAACGCTATTTACTGCATTTTGAGGGGCAAATTTTGCTGACAGGTGGCCGACTGCGCCACCCCCCTAGTACAAAACAATATGGCAAGTGTATCTGTGGCACAGACTTGCATAAGCGTGTTTAGACATGCTTCATTTGACTTACCCGGCCTTTGCAATTTCATATTTTGTTCCTTTAAATCGTGGTCCGACGCGAAATTAAAGCGCGGTGGTCGTAGCGCAGCGCGTGTTCGAATTTCGCGTAAACAAACAATGTATTTTACACGCGTTGTATACGTCGCTATGAGTCCCATATCGAACAGGACGCGACACGACGACTGCCGCCCTTTAACTTCGTTCTAAAGAATTATCATGTTAACAGTGGCGGATCCAGAGGGGGGCCATGCCCCCCCCAAACGCATGACGATTCAACCATGCTTTATTGTACTTAGATATATGTCCATTTTAGGATACGACTTCAATAAAGACTATTACTTATATATGATCTGGATTACGCATAGCTTCTCTGCGATTTACGCTCCGTATATCTTAAGCGAAGCTTGGACCCCCCCCCAATACATTTTGCTGGATCCGCCACTGATCATGTAAAACAATAAAATTGACAAGACTGTGCTGCACGTCAAATGGGAGTATGCACTGTACCCCCAACCCCTCAATTGTATATGACCCCCATACAAGTGTTTTCAACTAAGAGGGGTAGTCGGGTAGATACGATTATTTCGGTGGGCGATGGAGGGTTAGTTTTAGGATTAGTTTGGTGGGGTACAATAAATAGCATTTCCAAAATGAATGAGTGAAAACACAGACAAATGTCAGATTTTAGTGAAAATGCACATCTCGTTGAAACCAGTTAATGACCAGACCGTCAACGTCTGGTCGTTTACGACTTGGTTTCGCGGTAACGTTAAATGGGGGGAAATGTAAGATATTATCTTTCAGAAAAAAACAAACTCTACTTGTATGTGAAGTCTAGGTGGAGGGCCAAGGTACTAAAAACTGACGGAGGGCGGGGGTCTACTGCATGAACTCGAAACAATAGCCATGTTCACAGTCCCTCTTGAGGGACTGTGCCATGTTCAATGAAAATTTGGGTAGGGGAAAAAATGTTGTTGCGAAAAAATGACATTTTTTTTTTAAACTTGCGTCATTTCCGGACAGTTTCAAGTGTCTAAATTTGGTGTAAAGCCCTTTTTGAATTCTGACCTACGTTTTGCTTTTATTTATTTTTCAAAAAATGTTACTCATATCTAGTGGATTTCGGGGAAAAGTGTAACCCGCTTCGACGGCACATCACACACGTATTCCTTTATCGACATTGTGACGTTTATAACAGAAAGCTGATAATACGTCGCGTTGCAGGCTGGGTAATTTGCACAACAAACTCGTTTACCTGCGCCGCTTTCACTGATATGCCAGGATATTTTTCAAGACTGTGCCGGATATAACACATCGCTCTGATTTTTAAACTCGCTAGGCACTCACTATGGGCGAAGACAACAAAGTAGCACCCGAAGATGCAGATAGTAAGAAATACGGTAAGTAATAGGCGGGCGGAAAGTGGGCTGCCGTCGTTGTGCTTTCCCACTGTTTCTTGTGTTGCTCTAATCTCGTTTCAATGTTTTGGTTTGTCAGTGAGTGGACTCGTGTCCGCGTATACAGGCAGTTCGCGCCAGGTAACCAACAGCAGGAACATGATCACTTTCGACACGTAATTTATCAAAGTACCTGGGGGTACTTGGGTTGTCATGCATACAATAGGGCAAATGTAAATCATTTTGTAAATTGGGTAGACGTTGCACGGATAAGGAAGTACACCATATTTTCTGGCTCACAACCTCTGTTCTGAACCACGGCCACAATCGATGATTTCTGTCAGTATTTTTGCCGCCTAGCCATATATTCTTGAGAAAACTGGTGGAAAGAAGAAGGGGGTACTAAAAACTTCAAATTTCCATAAAATTCGTAACAAAATGTCGTCGGAAAATCTTGAATTAGACGATTTGGAGGATGGTCGTGAAACCAAGGTAACAAAATACGGTGAGTGGTAATACATGTTGCATATAACTAGATTCACAGCTTATTTCTTTGAAGTTATCGCACAGTCACGGAAAGCTCTATAAACTTTAGCTGGAATTGTACGTTTGACAAACTGCGAGCTCTAATATACAAGAAATCACGTTTGTTAATTCATAACGGGATATAAAATATCTGTGAATCACTTAGTATTTAAAAATATCCCTGGACTCCCTCAATTAATTACCCTGTATTTTTTAGGCTTACCACCTCGAGAAAGTAGCTAACTCGGAAAGAAGGAACAGAATACGTCATTCAGTTTTATTTTAAAACTAGAAACTTTTACGAATTTGTGACCACACCCCTTAAGTTTATTTCCCCCTCTCATAGTTTTACTTATTTCGTTCAGTTTGGTGTTACGTTCACTGCTTGAAAGTTGGCTACATTTGTTATAAAGGTTGATGTTTTATTTATATCAGTGGCTGCCACCCAGCAAAGTAAAAACCACATTACCTGTTTTTGTAGCTGCCTCTCAAATCATTATGCAAACAAGGAAATATTAGAAATGTTGATTTTTGTCTCTCACGGAAGTAAAGCATATTTTTTTCTTCTAATCAAATGTATGGCAAAACATTTTAGAGAGGAGCCAAATTCACTATTAATATTGATAATAATTTTTACTGTACAAGATATCTTCAATATTTTCCCTAAGATGACTTGTATTTGGCCTGAAAGACTGACAAGTCTATAAGAACATATTTTATTAAAGTTCTAAAACTAAAAAAGTGACAACTGTAACAAGGTTGACTTATCGGCAAATGATTTTATTTAATATTCCAGTATTTTATACAAAACACGAGTGTAATTTCATAAATATAGTGTACTCTTGATATGTCCAATGACACCAAAGTACAAAAATAACTGCAGTATTTCCCCCCTGCATAGTGAAAAAGAGGCTCACCTCCATCTCTGATGCTGTGTAACAGGACTGCCATTATTTGTGAATGAGTTTTGTTTGCAACATAAAAAAAAATGTTATTTTACTAAATATTTAGTTTGATAAACGCTGATAGTGGCCTATGCCACTTCTGTGATTGATTGTACACAACTTTCCACCCAGTCACTGTGAAGGGGGTTCAGTTATTTTAATTTTCCAACAATTGATCTAAGTTTAGACCATTTTGTTTATTATGTGAGAATACAGGAGGAGTGATTCACACGTACCGAACAAACGGCATGTGCACATTTACAAGTATGAGGGTGGTCGATGAGTTGACGTCATTTCCCACCTGCGACATCACAGATTTGTGTACTCAATCATTTGTAAACAAATATAACACCATGTTTACTGACTATTTATTCTCTGCTTCCAAGGAGACAAAACAAATTCTGAATTCCACATTCAGTCGTCAGTTATTACTAGCACTATCGTGATCATATTTTCCCCAGCAAGGATACTGAGAAACCAGTGGATGAACATCTACGCGGAAATTGCACAAATGCTTTGATGAATTCTCCAATCAGAGTCTATGAACTCTCAAGCGTTCATGAATTATTAATGAGCAGTTGCCGGTAGCAACATCTAACAATGACCCAAACATTGACAGCTCCCCCATTGTGATTTGATGAATTGCTGTGATGTCATTGATGATATTTATTTATATGCTAATAAGCTGTTCTATTGTTGTTTTATTCTCCCTCCAGTCATGCCCTGCTTGACTCATTCAAAGCTTATTGTTTCAGTTAGACTGTTGTAGTTACTTATTTCTATTGATAACAACAGCAGTTGCAAACTTGTTTATTCTGTCAGGGGTCAGTGAAAAATAATGCATTCACTTCAAACAGTGTTCTATATTTAGCATATTGTTGACATCATCATGGATATAAAATATCGTGTATGACGTACGGAGTCATGTCAGTGACCTGCCAAAAGATATGAACACTTTATGACAATGTTGTACGACCTTGGGAATGTCTTTCTACTTTTTTAGTGGTAGAGTTTGTAACAATAAAGCCAGCAAACAAACATCCATCCAACAATGTAAATTAAATCAACATACACATGCTTCACAATAACTATTTGAAATTACATAGTACATGTACCATCAAATTTTAATTATTTTAATCTGGTCTGCAGAGCATTTATATTCATTGCGTACTTATCTCATTTTAAAAAATAAAAAAAAATTCTATTTATGTAGCCTGAGGTGACATTTTGTATTATTTCGGTACTCTAAAGTAAATGGAGTAAATGCACACCTTTTGATTTATAATTTTAGAGTGTGAATGACAAACACTGCTTTGAACAAGATTTATCCCACTCACAAGTGAGGTCAAAAGCCGGTGGCCATTTTAGAATATAATTGTTCAACCATATCTGATCCATATTTGACCATGTTCATTATTATCATAAGCTGAACCATAGACCCTGGGTCTATGCCTGTTCTCCTGTAATACTTGTATATTACCAGGGGTAGTATTTTGACTTAAATTATTTGATGGATACAATGTCGGTGAATATTCCCATAATATTTAAATCAAAACGTAAAAAAAGAAACTGTCTAATGCCTGTTAATGTGCATTACCGTATGTGAACCACTTTAATTTAGTGACAATATTTTTGTAAAATTGTAAAGTTGGAAACATTTCACCAGGGTACTGGGAAATCTGCTATTACCGGTATAAATGTTTTATATGTGTCCCCTTATTTTGCTTTATTAGAATCACATGTGCTTATACAAATGATGATCTAGCGTAACAATAAAAAAAAATTCTGGTTTCCAGGCTGTTATTGAAGATAATATATAGTACATGTATTTCACAGTTTGAGATAATTTTTTTTGCGAAGGTAAATTTAACAAAAGTTAGAAAAGTAAGGTACTATAGACTTATTTAATTTTTCATGATTTTTCCTGCCTCGCGAAATCCATGCAAATTAGTTTATCAAAATTGAACAGTTGTTAATACCCTTCATAAAAGTACATCAGATTTTGAAATTAACTTTGGGGGATCATTGCACAAGTCATAATCAAATCAAGGAGCTGAGAATGATAATGTGGGTGTTGTGAACAAAATTTAAACCTCTGACCACCTGTTGATTCATGCTGAATAAATCTCATTTTTCTAATTTTAGGAGAACCGGCGAAGTATGATCCAACTTTTAAAGGACCAATTGCAAATAGGTAAGAACATGCTAAAGTTTTAGCGTTAATACCATGTTTTATTAGTAGCGCAAATGACTATGATTCATTTTCTAATACATTATTGTTTCATATGTACTTTAATAGATTCAGTAGGTTTTTTTTATTTTATTTGCATTTGGCAGGTTGTTATGTAGCTGAAAAAAATATGCTGGCACCTGCCAAAGCAGTTTACCTTGTTGATAGTATGTGTATATAAATCATTATTATACATCTGTCACCGTAACGCCATAAGTTACAGCCTGTCGTAATTTTGTGGTATTTCATGGGGTATTTTCATCCTACCATATTAGGAAATGCGAATTCCAAATATGGAAAGATTACGCGCGTAAGCGTCCTCTAATAATAAAAACAAACATGGCTGCTACCAGGGTTTGACCGGACTCCGTACAAAGAAGTTCGCTGATTCTGTTCTAAACTTTTGGGATTTCGGCATTCCCATGATGTATCCTTGGAAGGAAAAGATGTATAATAAGATTATTACGAAAATACCTCAAAGTATGCACTCGGACAGTACGCTGTCGCATTGACCTCCGCTGCACGTTTGTCGATACTGTCGCTGTAATGTCTTTCATACTTTAAGGTATCCTCGTAATAACCTTATATAATTAACAGCTTAAAATGAAAAATAAGTGGCATACTGTAAAATGTTCAATGTTCGCGGCTTAAATTTTCGCAACTCAAAGATTTTATTGCATTTTGTGTATACAAAATTTTGTCTCTTCATGTTGGACCACTTCTAAAATATTTTCTCTGCTACAAAATTTTGCTATTTTCACTTATTTCTGAATAATTTGTTTTTTGCAAAATTAAAACAATAAACAGTATAATAAGTATTAGTGAATGGGCACCTCACTTTAACACCCCCAAAACATCAAAATGAAAATTTGTGTTCACCATGTTGCCAGATGAGGGGAATGTTGCATTCTTTTGGGGGAAATAAGATTACAAAATGACAGTATTTTGTTGTTTGGTCTATATGTGAGCTTCACCAAGACATTACAATATTTGATTGTAGGCAACTTTCAGAAATAATTTGTTGAAAACAACTAACTATACCACAGTGAAAACTCAAAATGGTTATAGGGAGTTTTTGCTGACCAGATTTTTCTGAGACTCGCTGTTAAATATCCCCAAATAATTACTTGCTGGCTCAATAAAATTGGTGTATACAATATGTGCAAGCAGTCACTCATGACTACAATGCCAGCACCTGAGGCATTTTTCTACCCATAAAAGGTGTGTGACTTGTACAGAATTCCTAATTAGACTTTGTAGAAGGTATCCATGTAAAAGTCATTACTTGTGACGATACAGTTAATGTGGTATAGCTAGTACTATCCAGGTGGTTGCCAATCCCTGGCTGAAGAAATGTTGATGGTTTGTCAAAACTATTATATTTAATACAGTTATTATTATTAAATAAAATAAGCTTGCTTGTTTATCATAATGTCTTGCATATTAATCTGATTCATAAGGGTTTTGATTTGACTGATAAATGAAATTCGCTGAATTTAATCTATGTGAATATTGTAAACTGCTCAATTTTGCTTCTGGAAATTTTCAAGATTTGATGATTTTCTGGAATTCATGAGACAACAAATTTTGCAAAACCCTGAAGTAATTTTCACTGCTGCAAAAATTAACGATTTTCACTGAATCACAGAAATTTTTCTTTCATGAATTAAAAGCAGTTTACAATATATATTAATACACCAAAACTCATTGTATTACTGGCACCTCCCTGAATATATAACCAAGATGTTATTTGTAAGAATACTGGAAATAACATGTATTATTATATATCTGTCACTGTACCGCCATAAGTTACAGCATGCCGTAATTTTTCAATATTTCATGGGGTATTTTCATCCTACCATATTAGGAAATGCGAATTCCAAATATGGAATGATTGCGCATGTAAGCCTCCTCTAATAATAAAAACAAAACATGGCTCCCACCAGAGTTTGACCGAACTCCACACAAGAATTTCGCTGTTTCTGTTCTAACTTCTAAGCATTTTGAATTTCGGAATTCCCATGGTGTATCCTTGGAAGGAATAGATATATTTTAATAAGGTTATTACTAAGATACCTCAAAGTATGCTCTCAGACAGTACGCCGTGCATCAACCTCTGCTGCGCATCAGTCGATACTCCAGCTGTACTGTCTTCGTGCATTTTTTGAGGTATTCGCGTAATACCCTTGTAGTATTTGAGAAGCAGTACTGACATTGTTTTAAATACGTAACGATAGAAAAAAAATGTCATTACTACTTTGAGAAATATCCAGTATTCACCAAGAATGACCTCATTATCATATGTGCAAGCAACAAAAAACAGAAGCAGGACAAGTTTGAAAAAAAAGGAGAACCGAGATCAGCAACAGCAGAGACTACAACACAGACCGTACACTTGTTTGTTGTGGGAGTACACATAATCCAATATTAACTACCGGTAGTGAAATTTAATATCTGTGAAAATAAATGCCTTTAATAGTAAGTTGTCTAGTGCTAGATGGTACCTTACTCGGCTTGGACAAAATATTTACGCATACAATAATCACAAATAATAACATATTGAGCCAAATTTGTTTGGCTCTCTGTGTGTTTAAATATACTAGTAAAAATCTCCAAGTAGTTGAACCAATAGTACCAGATTTATCAAACTATGTTGTATTATTTTTATCTAAATAATAAATATAAGTTCGCCATAGTATTATAATTCACGATTTTCAACTAACAAAATATTTTTCTTTCTATGATTAACCTGTTTTTAATGAGTTTCTAAATAGTTGATATTGTTTACATTCCAGGAGCTGCACAGATATCATCTGTTGTGTCATATTCATAGTTTTTATTGCCGGCATGTTTGCTGTTGGATATTTTGGTGAGTAAAACATTCTTTCAGTAATTGTAAATAGTTGTGGGACCTAGCAACTAATAAATATCGCACCTGAAAATGTGTACACTTATGTAAACAAATTGTGAATGTGACCAAAAGGTCATACATTCTGGTATTTTATGGTGGTACTTACCGGTATTTACTATCAATGAAAATTCCTCAATTATTTTTCCAAATACTAGTAATGCAAGTACAATACAGTCCTGACATAACCTTCCAAGCTGCTTATTAGCTGGCTTTTTATAATACTGTAAAAGGGTTAATTATTCACTGGGTTTTAATTTTGCTTATTTGGCTGACTGAAAATTAAAACCCAGTGAATATGTAAAATTGAGCTTAGAACACATTATCTAAATGCTAAAACCGTGAATTTAAAATCCACTGAATATGCCTGAAATGGTAAATCAGCGAAATTTAAACCCAGTGAAAATTAGTCATTTTACAGTAATAATAATAATTATAATAATGAATTTATTGCATCCTTAGAAATAGTTTCCATTGGTTGACAGCAATAAAATGTTAGTTTAGTAATAAAGTACATTACATACATGTTGTATAAAACTAAAGTAAAAGTAAAATGTCAGTTATTGTTATTTCTGATTTCAAATATTTTGTATAAGTATTCACCAATTTGTCTTACTGTAAAATCTGTATTAGAAACCGCGGCTTCTATTAAAATGATACAATGCAATAGAGGGGATGCGGCTTCTATTAGAGCACCTACACATTTGAGAAATGCTGAATTTTTGCTTCTCAATTATTCAAAAAGAATGGGTGCGACTTCTATTAGGGATGCGGCTTCTAATACAGATTTTACGGTATTAGTACGTCTTCTCTTGAACTCGTAATATATTTAAATATCTGGTCATCACTTTTCAATTCTTCTGGAATATTGATATTATTAAATACATGTAACTCATAAGAACTAATAATTTTCAAAGCGATTATCATTGTCATAAATAATTTCAAAATATTTTTCGTGGTATTTATCTGTTATTATTACATTGTACAAAACCATATTAAGGATGTACATGTAGTAGAGGTTTTTTTCGTTGAGAATATTAAATTTACTTTTTTTCCACATTCTCTTATAAGTACTGTAAAATCTGTATTAGAAGCCGCGGCTTCTATTAAAATGGTACAATGCAACAGAGGGGATGCAGCTTCTATTAGAGCATCTACACATATGAGAAATGATGAATTTTTAGTTCAATTTATTCAAATAGTATGGATGCGACTTCTATTAGGGATGCGGCTTCTAATACAGATTTTACGGTATATAGAAAGCATGCTTTCAACTGATTTAAGAGGGAAATAAATTTTGAGTAAATCTGAAATGTTTTTTTGTGTGATTTTCACGCATAAGAAAACGTCGGTATTTGGGGTTAGTCTAGAGAGTTGATCTCGACTCCCAGCTGCTCCACGACAGTGATCTTTGACATAGGTATTCTCTGATAGCTGCTAATAAAATCTGGCAAAGATAGTTTGTCTACCACTTTGACTTTGGAAAATACGACACAACTCTCTCCTTTATGAACTTTGACAACGGGGTATCATATTTCAAAATAACGTTGACGATGTTTTTAAAAAGTGTTATGAGGTAAAAATCTAAGACAAGCAACAGTAGAAATTAAATTCAAACCTTTTATAGTGTGCCGCGAACATCATTTCTGTGGCCTTCTTTCGGTTTCTTCGAAAATAACACCCTCTATTTGCACAGTGATTACGTGATTACACGGTATAATTTTTTATTAGAATATTTATTTCATATTATTTGAAAAATAAGCTTTCTAAAAATATATAACTTGATGGGATTCAAAAAATATGTTACCTCAGAAATGTGCTATGCAATTTCAATAGCAGTAACCTCTACTGCAGTTTAGATATGAGGCACAATTTAAAAAGTTTAGCAGTTTTAAAAGCAAGCTAAATACTAAGTTGTAAACAGTACTTATAGTTAGTTGAATTAAAAAAAACACTATGGCTTAACTTATCAAGAATTAAAGCGCGATAGTCGTCGCACTGCGCATGTGCGAGATATATGGGTCTCATTTAAACAAAGATGGCGATTTTGACTGTTGCGCAGATCAACGAGTAAGAAATGTGACGTTTCCAAGCTTTAATTAAGCAATTTTCATGTTATTGGAAGGTATCGAAGGAGTCACCGGCGGTAATCAGTGCAAGTCGCGCCCACGTCAAACCTCATACTTGTGATTTCCATTTGAAGAGCGCATTGGATTATGGGAAAATCAATGTTTATCAACACAAATGTCGCACATGTGCAGCGTGACGACTACCGCGCTTTAAGGTAGAATATTAGAAAGTATTAACGGTACTATTATAGAATACATGTAGCTATACACCACAAAAATGCCAGGATATATGATCATTAGGAGGTCATGTAATTGTAACTGGAGTAGAATAATGCTTTATTAATACCGTAAAGAAAGAGTTAACATTTCTTTTTAGGTTTTCAGATTAATAAAGTAAATAATAAAAGTACATGAAATGTAAAAATTGATTTAAAAAAAGAACTCAAAATTGATGAACGACAAAAATACTACAGACTATTATTAATAATATAAGAAATATTAAAATACCGTGATATGTAAGTATATCTGTATGTAGCACAGAATATGTATAAAATATAAAAGAACATGACAAAATAAAAGAATTTAATAGTCTTGTTTATATTTAATTAAATATTTGCAGAGAGTGATAAGATGGTTTGTATGATTACTAGTACTCAGTACAGTAACCAGGAAGTTAGTTCTATGGTTATAAAACAATAACAATACAAATTCAAAAAGTGTAGATTGCAGAATAACAGGAAGTATTACAGAATCTCATCTTCAGTCCAATTTTCCCTGAGAATAATGCCTCTGGGTGTGCTCGTGTCATGTCGGAAATGGCATAACAAAATGAATAATTATGAGTATACATGTAATAGTAGTTCTTTTAAATAGACCTTGAATAAAATGTTTTAGGCACTCAAGGGTTCAATGCCCATGCAAAAGGTCTAGGCCGGGTCTTAAATACAGCTCAGATTTAGCTCAATCCTGGAGTTGCACTTTCTATGAATGGCAAGCAGTATGATGAGCCCTTGTACTTAGAACTGTCGCTTGACGCGAAAATACCAATCTTGGACAGCTGTATTTGACTAAACAGTACATCTGTTTCATTGAAGTTAATGGAAGAAACAAACAAAAAATAACTGTTTCAAAGTGCTTTATCAAAGTCTACCTTGCCAGAATGATCGCTATTGTATGATTATATGAAGAGTCATAGACACAACCATAAGATTTAATGTCTTCACAACAGAGTATTAAAGCTATGACCATAGCAACGAAGTAACTGTTTTCTTATTGCTTAGGAACTCTACAAAACAATAAGTTTATATATACATGTATCTGGTAGACCATGAATAATTTCCAGTCTGTCTCCAGGGTTCTTTTTGTTGCCATAGTTAGTTCATTTAAATAAGAGTGTGTCTGAGAGGTAGAATTTGTGTTTAGAATAATGTGTTGTGGTATATAGATTTGGTGTCGTTGTTTTTTAATTCTTGACTTTTTATATGATGTATGACGGCATATATTTTGGATAGAACAGATCACAGCATGTCACATCGACCAGAATAATGTGTGGTGGTATATAGATTTGGTGTCGTTGTTTTTTAATTTAATTCACAGCGTGTCACAGCCTGTCACAACGACCACTTAAGTCAAACAGTTTTGTACTAAGAGTTTTTATCCCAATATGAGAATTAAACTAAAACATATTATTTTCTTTCCATTTCAGCTTGGAGCAATGGAAATCCATATAAACTAATATATGCTACTGATGGTAGGGGGCAGATTTGTGGCTATGATACTTTAGTTGCGTGAGTACATATATCTATTTTATCCCGTATATTAATGTTTTCACCACCAGATTTCCTCACCCTAATTATTCTGCATCGTTTTGTGTATATTCTTCAATATTTCTGGAAATGAACCATAATTTTAGAGCCAACAAACAAAATTTGTGTCAATTTTCAGTTTTTAGTCAAAAAATTTGGCTATTTTTGTCCCAACCTTCTGAAGGAAAGTGCAGACTATAAACGGGACTATTTTTTGAATTTGTGATGAAAAGAGGGAACTGGTGGTAAAAAAGTTAAATTGATTTAATCAGTTGTGATTTGTAGAAAAGTATATAGATGATATTGGTTTTAGAGTTAATTAATTACCGGTATGCATGCAAAATACATCCATAATCATGATCAAAAACTGAACAATATAAAT